CCCCCAAAGAATAATGTCTTCTATCTTGCTAGGTTTCTCTCATTCCTGATTGTTGTTAGCTGGTACTGTTGTTTCACTCCTGTCAAAATCGTTTTTGTTTTTAGAGGTTTGGTCATCGACTTTTATCTCCAGTCTCTAGTCGCTAGTTTTACTCTTTCTTTCCCCGGCCACCCTCCCATAGTATAGAGCATTGTTGTGGAGTATGCAGTCTAGGATGATATTGATACCCCCCCGTGTTTTCCTGTAAAAATGGGACCTCGTCCTGAACTTGTCATTTCTCATTTATAATATTATGGATGACATCAGCAGTCCAGTGGTTGGGCTACTGAACTTGTAATGATGAGATTGCAGGTTTTGAGCGTTTGGAGCACTGCTCAGTCCATCGTTTTACGCTTGGGAATGGCACTTCACATGAATTTTCCCATTTGGCTCAGTCCTATAATAAGAGATGGATGGACATTCAATTCGGAGAATGTTGCAAAGGGTGTACATGACCTATAGAATTTGGCATATATATTTAACTTCATAATGTCATTTTGTTAGCTGGTAAGAGGTAGGCCTATATGCTGCTGGTTTGATGTAGATTGATCATCATGATTCAGCGTGTTGGCCAACTGGTGGAAGTTAGAAGAAGAAGGAGTTTCTACTGAGTGTGTCAATGCTTACATTTACATGAATAAAGGCAATTCAATGCCTGTGTGGGCAGTTGACGGGTGCTCTGGTGTGGTTTGCTCCTTCTTTCATATCAAACATCTTTCGTCCTTATCTCTCCTTTTTTGTGTTTGTTACTCTCTTGTAACACTTCTAATCTTCGGCACTTATATGACCTTATTGTGTTGCAAGTGCCGTAAAACTTTTACTAAAACTAAACTTTGCCTACCGGTGGCTTGTTACGTAATGTATAAATTTAGTTATATCATTTATGGTCTTTTTATTAGTCAATTTTTCTGTGGGGCTAAAAAGATCTGAAAGTGGACATGGTTACATTATGTATAAAATTATTAATATTACTTATTATATGATGAGGCAAAGGGAAGAAGATGATGTGAAAACAAAAGGAAAATGCAGATCATAGAGAATGCAGACTTCAATAAACACCATAGTGTTATGGGGATGAATCATCAAAATATTGTCTTTTATTAATTGAATGGGCTGCTGAACAGTAAATTGCTAAGAAGTCCAATAGTATATTTTTATACGTAGTTTCTTTAAGGAACGGTTATTGTTCTCATAGGAGTGAGTTTTGTTGCACTGTGAACAGTATGTTTTGTAACAAAGAATTTCGTTATTCAAGTTACAATGACTTCCTTGTGTTTTATTTGGATCATTAAACCCCCCCCAATTTAAGAACTGAATGCTTCTATTGTTTCATCATGAAAAAGTGGTAGAAATTAGTTTCATTTTTTTCAATAGAGAGAATTGGGTTTAAAGTTATCGTCTTATGGACAGGGACATTGTCCAAATTGTAAATGATATCATCAGGGTATCATCAATCATATTGAATTCAATCATATTGTGCTGAAACTGAAATGATAGTTTTTACCCCTTGATGAAGGAAAGTCTGGCTGGCCGCCCCGACTCAATCAAACGAGTCTGTTTGGCAGTGTGCACTGGGTATTAGATTTATTCAGAATCACGTTTTCTCAATGCTAGTAGGCTACAGGTGTAAAGTATCTGTTCCCAAGGTAAGTGGAAGTGGTCACTGTTTTTCATATATTTTTCCTAATTTACACAGAAGTTATTGTCAACACCATAGTTCACTCAATATTGCGTATTTCAACAAAAAATTGACTATGATGATATACGTAAAAATGGTTATATCTTTCGCAAATAACATAATTTTTTTTTCTCTTAGATTTCTTTGGGAAAACTGATCTGACCAATTTTTAGATCATAGTTTTGATTAAATTAGAATTCAAAAGTATAGATTAAGATTATTCAGAGTTCATACAACGTCCAGTATTTTGATAAATGAAATTTAACACATTTTGACAATTTTTAGGTTGAGTTGTAGGGTCCTACTATATACAGAACCCTTGATATGCAAGCAATGGAAAACTCTGTAAAGCCAAGAATTGTTGATAGTTAACAGTCTTCTGTGTTTTTCTTTTTTCTTGTGAGAAACACAAAATAACTCTCTTCAGCTGGCACATTTCAGAGTCACTGGAGCTATATTTTAATTTGAAAAAAAGATGAGACAACTCTGTAACTGATTTTTTTTTTCCTTCTGTCCTAGGAGGGAGTGCTGCGAAGATGCTTTGTGCTGCCCTGCCAGAGGCTACGACAGATTGGTCAAAGTGGCGTGTTTTCTTTTGTGATGAGCGACATGTGCCATTTGATAATCCAGAGTGTACCTTCTCTTTCTACAAGAACAATTTGATGTCGAAAGTCCCTCTGTCTGATGAGCATATTTTCCCACTGAACCCAAATGTGACAGGTAACACAACAAGTTGCTCTGTGTTTCTTCTTGTTACAACTGTGGCTTTGGTGGCCTAGTGGTTAGGCTCTCGGACTCGCAATCGTAAGGTCGTGGGTTCGAATCCCGCCAGGGGCCTGACGTTGTCCTCACTTTACCCTGGTGGGAATGGGTACCCAGTTATAGACAGCTAAAGATCTTGTCCGTGTGTTTGTTTATTGAGTGCTTATTCAGCTGCATGCACTGTATGCTTTCCGTGAAGCTGAGAATGTTTCTGAGTGTTCTATGGTCTGCTGGGGTAATAATGTTGTAAAGTGCATAGAGCTTGTTGTTGGGCGGGCGTATGGGCTATACAAATTCTATCTATTATTATTAACTGAAAGTAAGATGGGTCTCTTTCTGTTTTTATCTGGAGACTCTTAAATGACCCAAATTTGACATCATGTAGCATTAGTTTCAGCGTGTTCTAACATAACACAACTGAAAATAAGATATAGATCTATATATATGCTTTCTTTTTGGCCAGAGACAGTAAGTCAAGTGAATGGTCTATCTTTACTGAAATATGTTTGCCTATATTGTTTTTCCATTATTGTGGAAATGCTACTACATTTTTTCACATCATAAATTTCATCTAGCAAACCAAGAAAAAAGAAAAAGACATTTTCTGAAGAGGTGAAAGGTTAGATACTATGCCCAGTGCAAATGAATAAATGATTGATTTATTTTCGAGTGATTTGGAAAAACGAAAAAAACCCTGTAGTATTGTAAGATGCCTTCTGATGATTTTGCTCCAAATTCCAGTGACAGCTTTATCTGGACACTCTAGAAATTGATTCATTATGTGTGGAAATCTGCGTGGTGTGGGGGGTGTTAAGATTATATGGACAATCATGTTGTTCATGAAGATTTTTTTACGCAGTTAAAGTAAAGTATATCCTCTGTGCCTTTGCGTATCACAAAGATTGGAGGGGGCTCTTGTGGTCTAGAGGTTACAGTGTTCACCTGTCGTACAATAGGTCCCGGGTTCGAAACTGGACCTCGATGGAAAATTTTGTTCTCTAAAATTTGGTCCTTGCACTTCCTTTCCTACTCTCTAACCATGTTCTGTTGTATGCTTTCACTTCCTCTTTCTGCCCCCCCCCCCCCCCTTTGCCCCCTCCTCTGGGCTCCTGACTCTTTCTGCAGCCTTTCTGCTGCTACTCCTTGGCTCCTTACTGCTGTCTTTCAGCCACACTCCTGTTCTTATGGTAGGTAAGATGTAACACCTAGCCTTCTTGGATAAGAGTGAAAATTCTCAGAAGTCACGTGTGCAAGTTGCACACGTTATAGATCCCTTGGTGGTCCTAAAATTGATAAGAGTAGGCTTCAGCCGCCACCCGGGCTGAATTCAAAATTCCTACCAAACTAAAAATGTTTAATTTGTCCCGCGCACCCACATGACCTTATGCTGTTGCGAGCGCAGTAAAACACTTACTTAAACAAACAAACAAAGATCGGAGCCTAATATTTCCTGTTCCTGAAAGAAGTAGCTGATAGCAAACTTATTGTGACCATTCATCATCACCCCGGGATCTGCACACTAGGTCAAGCATGTTCAGAATGTGGGAAGGGAAATCTGCATGATGAGAGGGGGGGGGGGGGGGTGTCAAGATTATATGGAGAATCATGTTGTTCACAAGGATTTTTTTTTCGCAGTTTAAGTAAAGTATATCCTCTGTGCCTTTGTGTTGTAATATTGATATTTTTATATTTTCTTTCTTTGTCCATATTTCCAGTTGCTGAAGCGGCGGATCTATATATTGAGAAACTCCGCAGTGTGTTCCCGGGCAATTCTCTGCCTAGGTTTGACCTACTGGTTCTGGGTATGGGCCCGGACGGTCACACTTGTAGCCTGTTCCCAGGCCACCCCCTCCTCAATGTGAGTAGATAATTCTGACCCTCTCCTCAATGTGAGTAGATATTTTCTGACCATCCTCTCCTCAATGTGAGTAGATAATCTCTGACCATCCTCTCCTCAATGTGAGTAGATAATCTCTGGCCATCCTCTCCTCAATGTGAGTATATAATCTCTGACCATCCTTAATGTCAGTAGATAATATCTGACCATCCTCAGTTTGAGTAGATAATTTCTGACCATCTTCTCATCAATGTGAGTAGATCATCTCTGACCATCCTAAATTTGAGTAGATAATCTCTGACCATCCTTAATGTCAGTAGATAATCTCTGACTATCCTCTCCTCACTGTGAGTAGATAATCTCTGACCATCCCCGGTGTGAGTAGATAATCTCTGACTATCCTCTCCTCACTGTGAGTAGATAATCTCTGACCATCCTCTCCTCACTGTGAGTAGATAATCTCTGACCATCTTCCCCTCAATGTGAGTAGATAATCTCTGACCATCCCTGGTGTGAGTAGATAATCTCTGACCATCCTTAATGTCAGTAGATAATCTCTGACTATCCTCTCCTCACTGTGAGTAGATAATCTCTGACCATCTTCCCCTCAATGTGAGTAGATAATCTCTGACCATCCTTGGTGTGAGTAGATAATCTCTGACAATCCCCAGTGTGAGTAGATAATCTCTGACCATCTTCCCCTCAATGTGAGTAGATAATCTCTGACCATCCGTTATGTCAGTAGATAATCTCTGACCATCTTCCCCTCAATGTGAGTAGATAATCTCTGACCATCCTCTCCTCACAGCTTTGAGTAGATCATATCAACATTTGTGTATGGTGTAACCTCCCCACCTCTCCTCACCTCTCCTCACCCCAGGAGACCAGCAGGATTACAGCGGCCATTAGCGACTCTCCCAAACCCCCACCGTGTCGAGTGACCTTGACCTACCCAGTGATTAACAACGCTGCTTGTGCCGTGTTCGCTTCCTGTGGCGCTGCCAAAGCAGACATCGTACAGGTGAGGCGTTGTCAGATCAGGAAAATTCTATTGTGACAGGTGATATCTTTAGATGTAGCGCAGTCAGCGTAATTTGTCCATGTCAGGCCGTGTCTATATGTGAGTGTGCCTCGAGAGAGGGTATGTGAGTGCGCCTGGAGAACGGCCCCAGTTGTCGGCAGAGGTATTATTGAGCTTGGAAGTGAAAAGACCAGTAAAGTGGAGGAAAATGTAGTTTCTTGAGAAAAAGTATGCCGGGCCATTCCTACATAATTAGGTCTAAAATTAAAAGATTTTTATTTTTTAACAAAACTACACACTACTAGTCTGTGTCACAAAATGTGCCACGCTTACTAAACCAATCAAAATATTGAAATGTTTTGGAAGTCAGCATGTTCAGCATTGATTTTACGATGAAAACGTGTCCTTTTTTATATACTATTAGCCTATAGATACCATGTCATATGTAAATAAAACCAGAAAACTGTGAAGTTTTTTTCTTAAAACCCTGATTTTTTTATTTTCGACACTTTTAAGTCGACCTATGTATTGAGGATAGGGATAGGGACCAAAATTCATCAGAGTCCTCTCTCCTTGAGGGATGTGGGTATCTGATGCTGAAGGAGTGGAGGGGAGGGATGAAGATGCTTGGGAGGGGGGCAGGAATGTCCATGAGTGGAGTGGGGACTGGTGTGGAGTAGTGTTGGGCGGTACTAGCGAAACCCAGTGTCGACACTTTCTCGGTACTGGGCGCCGAGAACCGCCAGTACCAGCACCGGTACTGGGAGTGACACCAGTAGGTGACGTCACAGACTTTGCGTCTTGCATCTCACGCCACGATCACCCCCACACACACGTCAGAATTGGAGAGGCGAAATGTGACGCTAAATACTTTGAAGTTTACTGCTGCGCGGGATAACACTCTGCCTGCAGAATTTTTAGAATAATTATCGCCGCTACAAATTTATTTCATTTTCGGAATCAGCGTATCAAAATACACAAAGTGGCTTGCGTGGAACCTGATTTGATGAAATTGTAAAATTGAAGCAAATTTGGTTTTTGATTGTCAATTTTGAATCTGAAGTCATGTATCAAGGTCACCAGCTGTGTTGTGTGCATCTGACGTCACAGCTGCTAGGCCAAGGCCTAGGCCTACACCGGAGATGCCTATACACAGCACACTTCCGGTGGCCTGGTTAAAAAAAACGTTGGTGTCGGCCTATACGTTCTTACTCTCTGAGCGTTTAGGTGTCGGCTCGTTCCCAGAGCCAGTACTAACTGTTGGTATCGGCTCCTTCCCAGAGGCGGTACTGGAGGCCAGGTGCCGGTACTGACACCTCTTACGGTAGAACCGGGAGTTCCAGTACTGGGTACCGGTACCTACCCATCCCTTGTGTGGAGGAGGAAGAGGGTGGGAAGCAAAAGGAGGGAGAGGATTCTGTCTCTTCCTCACACTCAATGCACTAAATTTGTTTTAATTCCGTTTAAACACCCTAAGGTTCTGTAAAACGTAGAACCTGCAACTTGACGTCCATCTCCATAAAACGGACACTAGGTTGTCTTGGCATCAACTTCTAAACATATCCCCCAAACCTTCCCCAAATGGTGAAAAAAAAGAGAGCCCCCCCCCCCCCCCCCCAGGTTTTCTGAATTATGGGGGCGTAAAACTTTTACTGTGACTGCCAATATAAAATTCTTTGAGCTTTTTCTGTAATGTAATTTAGGAGGCGTTTACTGCCGTTATGAAGTACAATGTATTTTCTTTCCCTCTAGCTAAAAAATTAACAAGTGTTTTTTTTTTCCGTTTCCAGCAAGTTCTGGAGGGAAAATCAGAAGAGCCTCTGCCTGCTGCAAGAGTGAAGCCCACCAACGGAGAAGTGATCTGGATCTTGGACAAAGGTGCAGCTGCAAAACTCACGTCTGCCAACCAAAAGCTGTGATGTCAAAATGAGGCTTGGTTCTTTTATTATTTTTTTTCTTCTGTTTTTTTAAAACCATTTTATTGGAAGATTTTGCATCATGTCATTGACAGATTTTCTTTCTTTTTTTTGTTGACAATGTCGTATATTTTTTTTCAACAAAAAAATGAGGGACCATTTTCGAGAAAGTTTTGTGCTAGAACTAGTAACACTGTTTATATATATGCTGTTCAGCAAAACTTCTTTCGCCAATGGCTGAAGATGTGCAACTGAACTGTCAAAAGTTGAAGAAGCACAAAACCCTTGTAGAGAAATAATTGTTTCTAGTTTATAATAGATCTTATGTTTTTGTCATTAATGTTTCTCTTGCACTGTATGCCATGGTAGGGAGATGAAAAGGAGGGGGGGGGGGGGGTGTGTTGATTAAAAAAAAAGAAAAAAAAAGAAATATTGCAGGTGTGGTTTAGGTTTGTAAATTCCAAAATCCTTTTAAGATTGTGTTCTTTCTGATTGTATACAACTGTCATTTTGTTTCCTATATTGTGATAGTATTGGCTGTTGACTAATCATCTTGGGGTATTTTTTTTCAACAATTTTGTTTGATGTATATGTAAGACTGTGGAAAACCGTTTTGAATGATGATAATAAAAAGTATGAGAAAAGTAAGATTTGGACCATTCTTCCAGTTTTTTAATTTTAAGTTTGAGTTTGTATGATACAGCAGCTGTACGTGTCGATTTGCTGTCGTTAAAGAACAGTGATAGGCAACATCATGTTCCTCAGCTTATGCTATTTAACCCAATGGACCAGAGACTCCGATATATTGGGGTGCAGCTAAACTATCCATGCCACCGAAACCCCAATATTTGGGGGTTTGGGGTGACCTGTTTAGATCTCGCTCCTACCCAGAAGTAGACTGAGACTGGCAAAATAAGTAGCAGTACTGGAGGTAGGAGAGAAGGAACAATTTTATTACTTTATTTGTGTTTTTGCATGAGTGCTAATGGAATACATGTACTAATAGCATGCCTAGTTTTCTTGAATTTTGCTTGGGGGCCCAGGGAGGGGGGGAGGATTTTTTAGGCCTGGGAGGCAAAGGTTCATTGGGTTGAAAAGAAGGATACCGTTTAGCTGTTTATGATAAGAGTTCCTGTTTCAAAGAAACTGATTGCTATAATACTGATGTTTTGAGGCATAGACACATATCTGACAAAACTGAGATTTTTGTTTTTTTTGGTTTGTTAAAGTAGCCCCCTATCCTTCATGTGTCGAAGGCAGGACAATGTATCTTCATCCGAAATAGATCCAGTAGTTTTCACTGTGGTAGAGCTTCATAAGGGACTGATTCCAATCCCCTTGTTGATGTCCGAGTGATATACATGTATGGATATATACATGTATGTATATTTCCATGTAATCATGTTTAGAAGCATTCATAACTGTAAATAGGCTTGGCGTCAAAAGTTTTTGCATTTTATTAATTAAAAAATCTGAAATGGGCAGTTGCGTCACACTGCCTTTGAATGAAAGAATAGTATATAGGGATATAACAATGTAAACTCTTTTCTCTATTAACCTAAAGTACATGTGTATATATCCCTAGTTTAAAAGAAACCTTAGTACTGTAAAGTTCGGACCGTAAGCCGCGACTTTTTCCCACTGCTTTAAACCCCATAACTTATACAAAGATGCGGTTTATTTGCTGATTTTTCCGACCGCAGGAACGTCACTCCCTTATTCTTAGCATACACCTAAAACTTAAATATTAAAAAGATGACGTATGTGAGGCATCATGGTGAAATCAGGCGCTCATAAAAATAATGAAATCAACCAGGGCGTCTGTAAGCGTTGTCTACTGACCAGAAAGCACGTCCTCAATGGGGTCGGGGTAAAACAAGGAAGGTGCGCCATTGGCTGACTCGTGGTGCATTGTACAGCCAGTCGACTTTGGATGAGCTAATGTTGTGCGCCGGGGGAGTGAAAAAAAGTAATAGATCAACTCATCGGAAGCTTAAACTTAACCATTGGGATCTGTTTAAAGAAGAAGGGGTGCTGGGAGCCGAGAAAAAAGATCGACGGAATCAAAGATCAACTCATCCGAGGTTAGTTTTTGTTTTAGTAAGGTTTTACGGCGCTCGCTTGCAATTGCATACGGTCAAGGGGTGGATGTCAATAGAGAAGTCCAAACAGAGAATCAGGCTTACTGTGCTCACCTCTCTCTAGCCTCAACAGCACAAAGTCTGCTTCAACTATCAAGGCACCCGGAATAGCAGTTCACTAGAGAGTGACAAACATACAAATATTACAAAAGAAGTAGAGGAAAAATGACGATTATGATAATGAGGAAAGAAAAGGCAACAATTCCCCCTATGTTGTTCCTGCACAGTATGATCATGACATCGATAAATCAGCCCATTTACAATTCTACTGTGCATAAGAACATGTTAATATCCCTCCTTTGGGAATGGCCTAAAGACAACTTCTGTCAGTAGCACTGCCTTGGCTATCCGGGGTTTAAACTTAACCATTGGGACCTGTGTAAAGAAGAAGAGGTGCTGGATCAACTGGACCGAAGATCAACACAAGCGGAGTCGACTCTACACTCTACTTTGTATTGCGATGGGTGAGGATTAGGATGAGGCTCTCCTATCAAACATCTGTCGTCCTAATCTCTCCTCCTTCTTTTTTGTATATGTTAATTGTTACTCTCTTGTAACACATCAACTAGTCTTCAGCACAATCCACAAACAGGGCTTCTTAATAAGGTTGTTTGGCACGTTTTCAAAGCCCCCCCCCCCCTTCTCTAATTTAATTGAGTCATGTCCCTTTGTTAGTAAAAACGTGCCTTTTGTTGTCATTATTGTTGCTGTTGTTGTGTTAATCCCCCCCCCCCCTTTTTTTGTACATTGAAAGCTATTTTTAGGCATATATCGGAACTAATGGCTCGGCCCTGTTGAAGCTGAACGTTCAAGTCGTTTTCTGGTACAGGCCTATTTTACGATAACCTTACGCAGTGGTGTCTTGCCGGGTGGAGCAATTGAAGCTGCAACCCCACCTGATTTGACAATGACAATGACAATCTTTATTCATCTCGCAGGGAGAAATTTGTCTTGGTCGTTAACAATGGCAGCAGACGTTACAAAAGTTAGACTTAAAGGTGCACTCACGCAAACGCACAACAAGACAGGACATTAGGCCAAGTAAATAGGTAAACCGGGGCAATTCCACCCACTTTGGACAATTTTAAGGGACAAAACTCTGCAAGTCATTTGAGGAGAGTTTTGCCACTCATGATTATTGAGCTACATCCCCTGGACTTCCTTTTCCTATTTCATTTTCTTTTGAACCTGTGGATGTTGAACAGCAGCCTTCTTAAAGAGCATCCTCAAGCATCAGCAAAGTAAGTAGACCTAACGTACTTTTTGATGCTAGACCTTGTGTATTTATGGTGGATGAAAGTCTAAAGTATCTTTTAATGAAGTGTTTATTTGTCTTCATTTTATGCACCAATAAAGCCATTATAAAAGAAAATTCTTCTGTTATGGTCATGGATCTACATAGTAGAGTTGGGGTAAATCCACCCACTTGGTGGGTGGATTTTCACAACCATACTTTCTTCGCATTGATTGTAAGTTATGATCTTCTCTTAAGTATTTAACCTCCTATTAGTTCATTCATAGCAACCTACAAGTAAAATGTTGGCCATTAAACTTCATTATTATATTGGGGCAATTCCACCCACCTGGTGGGTGGATTTACCCCAGATAATGTTGAGCATAAATTTATAACAATTTTGACTATTTTTTTAACAGAATGTTGAGGAATTATGTAAAGAAGAGAGCGCCATACAGCAAGGAGGCAATGCAGAATGCAATCGCAGCTGTGCAGTCTGGTACAATGGGTTGCCATCAACCTCATCAACACCTGCACCGTCGAGGCCAGTGACCCCAGTGGAACCAGCAACTAGACCCAGCATATTAATAAAGGACTTTTTACTTTTTTATTAAAAAAAATTCCCCTATGTTACACCCCAAGAGAGAAAAAACCAACCGGAAAACTGTTAAACGCCAGTATGGCGAAAGTTTGACCAGTTTTGAGTACATTCATTCAAAGAATAACAGAGGAGGAGGAGGAGGAGGAGAAGAAGAAAAGGAAAAAGGGAAAAGGAAAAGGAAAAGGAAGGCCTTCTGTTCCCACCAGAACCAAGGTAAAGAAAACAACAGTTGTGGACTCCCGTCTCAGAGTCTGAAATTGATGACGATAGTCGCGACAAGGACTGTGCTGCCTCAAAGATGCCAGAAAGACAGTGGTGATGATGACAGTGATAGTAGTGACTAGTGACAAACCCGCAGGAAACCAGAGAGAAATGTTTTTGAAAGTTTTGTCATTCATTGAAGTATGTTGAACATGTTTGATCAGAATTTTGTAGGTGGGTGGAATTTCCCCGATTAAAGTGCTTACAATTTTTTTGGGTTAAAACTCTATTTCTTGAATAGAATTAGTCAGAATTGTCTAATGTTATGTTTATGTTGAATGTTATGTTCAGAGTATAATTTGTTGCAAATTCTAGTCAGATATCACAATTAGGTAGTGCATGAGAGTGATTTAAGCAAAGTTGTGGGTGGAATTGCCCCGGTTCACCCATGTCTCACGGGCTGGGACAACCTGCTCCGTAAAACATTCTCTCTCTCTCTCTCTCTCTCTCTCTCTCTCTCTCTCTCTCTCTCTCTCTGTTTCATTTGTAGCACTGTATGTTCAGTAACCTCACTGCAGTTGGTACGAACGAATTTCTATATTCTGTCTGTTTTTGCTTTTTTGGAAATGTATCGTTTACTGCGGGTCGATAGTTGAAATTCCGATGTCAGTGGGTGGCTATGGTCACTAAGCATTATTTCCGCCTTTTTTTTTAGAACGTTTGTCTTGTGCAGATATTCAAAGTTACTTAGGTCTCTACCAATTGTTCTTGATGCCTTTCTTATCAACTTGTTTATTTTTATAATGTGCTGCCTTCCCAGATTGCTACCATTGCAAGTGATACCAAAATTTATAAAAATTTCTATTGCGGTGGTGTAGAAAATCTGAAGGATGGATGGATTCAGATTGAAAGACTTTAGTTTCCTCAGAAAGTACAGCCTCTGATTTACCTTTTTAACGATATTGTTTACGTGGTTTTGCTATTTTTGCTTCACGAAAAAGTTACTTCTCTGGTTAAAATCTAAAAGAAACATTTCACAAGATTTTTTTAAAAGGACAAAAACATGGTAATGTATTCCAATAAAAAGCTAAATTTCTCAATCACCCAAACGAAATTTCAGAGGAAAAATAACTCGAAAAATGGTCTGATTGGCCTAGGTGTCTACTGCTATAAAATTTACTTCGACTATATTGAGTTACGTCTAATCAGGTGCTCTTCCGTCGGGAAAAAAATGCAATTTCATTGGTTTTGTCCCTTAAGCCCCGGCGCTTATAGTTATAAATAAGTTCCCACTGGCTGAACATCACCGGGTTATTGACATTGCATGGCTCAAGGCCGAGACAAAGCAACTGATTGTTCTGTGTTAGGTTAGGCTCGGAGTCTGAAGCCTTCCCACAAGCTGAACATCACTAGGATATTGAACTGAGTCGATAGTGCCGTAAAACACCTACCCAAACAAGGAAACTAAACA